TCTAGCTGCTATGGGATTTCTATGATGATACTAATACCTGAAAAACGATCAGCAGTATCTGCATTAAATGTCTGTTCTGCGTATGGGAAGGGCACCTCTATGGAATTCGTCAGATATTCCAGGATGTGTTTCATCTATTTTCATCATATTGTCATTCAACCAGAGAATCCATCTGGCATAGTTTGGCTGATATAAACTGAAGAATAAACTTGACATTTCAAAGAGGCAGTATGTAAATAAGTTGTCACCACCATGAATACCTCATGAAAAACGGTGAAATATTCGAATTATTTTCACATACGTGTACCAATATTTGGCTGTTTTGCCATGTTCACTGGCCAGTGTCTTTTGTGTATAATCAATTATTTCATTCAGTTCTTTGGAAACATTGTAGCTTCTGAAGAATTTGGATGCGTTTACATCGATTATAGTGGGTACCTGTTAAAAACCAAGTAAGAGAACCATCAGCTATTATCCCAGCATCCCTCAATTACGAACGGTCCTTCAGATTCTGCAATATGGTTCCCAACAGCTTTGAAATAATTATTATGCCATTGATATGTGGAAAGGTCCTGGCATTATGAATAGGTTGTCAAATAGAGGACTTTCTGCAGCCTGAATTGTATATGCCATCTTTGCAATAGCCAAGTCATATGTCACTATCACTCTTCACCAATCTGCTGGGATCTCTTCATTGTTTCCAAAACAAAATTGAACGAGGTTGGCGATTGATTGATTTTAGGAAGATAACATATTTGTTGTTGAGGAAGGTTATCTTTTACCACAAGTAGTTTCTAATACATGTGATATCATCCAAATAACATCCAAAAGCTTGTCATCTGCACAGCTACTAGGAATAACAGATCTTCTGGGATAAATCCACTGTTAGTCATTCTAAGCTTCTTCCTATATGGTTCCAGATTTAAAAGGATTGGAGTAAATGACCATCTTTTCCGACAAACAGGAAGCTGGTTATCATTGTCAGTTGTTTCATTACTGGTACTTGTATCTGATACAGTTTGTAGTAATTGTCCCAGGCCGTGTATTCCATGTGGAACCGTACTCTGTTCTTCCTGTAAACTGTATGTTAATTCGTCTCTAGTTCATCAATGCCGTTGTAATTAACGATTTAAATATCAATTACTTTTCTTAGGCTTCCTGTTATACTCTTCATCGCCATTACAAGAGTCAAATGTTTGGAAGTTTTAATTTTGCCACACGAATAGTGTACATGGCATCTTGAGAAATTGAGGAAATTTTTCTTACATTTTTTTCTGTTTTCCTACCTCTCTGGCCAGGCCCGCCTAATAAATGAGTAAAAAGTCGATTAATAAATCTGGTACAGAAACCTCTCCTTGAATTATATCCTGCACTGATAATTTTGATGATAAAGTGGACTTTGATATATTTAGTATTTCCTTACGTAATATGTATGCCATGTCACGAATCTTTGCTTTTATCGATGATTTTCTAAGAACACACTCTTTAATGGCCTCTTCAACATTCATTCTATTGTTATATATGATATTTCCTTTAGTATTTGATGATAATAATGTCAATTTCTGTGGTCCAAAGTAATCCACTATCTTCCTTTCAAAATTGAAAATAGTAAAATCACCAAATATATTATTATCTTGGCTGCCATCCTCTGAAAAACTGGTATATACTTCTAACAGATTGGCAATGTACTGACTATACAGCTCTTTTGTTATGTTTACGTTTCCTTGTTCAATAATAGATTCTTGTATAAAAGATATTGTCATGAAATAATTTAATATTATAATCGCTATTCTATGGCACCTGGAAATGGACACAAATGGGTCACAACACATAAAATAATGTAATATGAATGTATATAAACTGGTTTACATTCAATCGTTTCGGTTATTATTGTAATTTCTAATCAGTAATGTTCGGCGAAATACGCAACGAGTCCGAATTGAATGGTAGTCTTTGGCATCTGGTTATTCCAGTCTACACTGGTAGTATTCTCCTACATGGGATATGTTTAGCCTCGTTCATCAAGTCGCTTCATACAAATTGCGCTCAAAAATGTTCTGACACACGATTCGTGTGCCAATTTTAACATTTTCATTTTGTCTTAAATGCCAGAAGCTCAACTTTTCATGGTAAGATAACAACATCAATGTATGTTGATTTAAATTGACCATTTAAGTCGTGTTTGCAACCTTGAAAACGGATGATATTGACTTCAAGACTTTGCCCCTTTAATGGAGAATCGTATCACTTGGTTGAAAATTGGGGATGATATTGAGTTCAAGACTTGGCCCCTTTAATGGAGAATTGTATCACTTGGTTGAAAATTTGGGATGATATTGAGTTCAAGACTTGACTCCTTTAATGGAGAATCATGTCACTTGGAGGCCAGCCATGCTGTATTGAATTTCTACTATGCTGTTGAAAACTGTAAATTAATAGTGGGGTGTCAAATTAGTTAGATTATAGATTTAAATTTGAATTGAAATCAAGCATGAGTATTCAACCTTTGGGTGGTTGGTGACAATTAAGTGGTCAGATTAGGAGTTTGCCCCACAGAAACCCATCAGATTTTATATTTTTAGAACCGACTAATACATAGTTAACATTTGGCACTAGTTTCAGTCATATTACTTATGAGGCAAATTTTGACCCCATTTGTGGGCGTGGCAGATTCGGCACATTTAAGTGGTCAGATTAGGGGTTTGCCCCAATGAAACCAGTCAGATTTGATATTTTTAGAATAGTCTCATAATTAGCTAACATTTGGCACCAATTTCAGTCTTATTACTTATGAGGCATTTTTGGGCCCCCGTCCACATTTTTTAGAGCAGTCAGAAAGGGGCTTGGCCCCATTTTTCCCGGTCAGATTTTACATTTTAAGATTCAGATATAGCACCACAACATTTCAAAACTATTTCTGATCGTATTACTTATGATGCAAATTTTGACCTTTTTTGTGGGCGTGGCAGATCGGGCAGATTTTAAGTGGTCAGATTAGGGATATGCCCCACTGAAACCAGTCAGATTTGATATTTTTAAAATCGGCTCGTACATAGCTAACATTTGGCACCAATTTCAACTATATTACTTATGAGGCAAATTTTGGCCCCCGTCAGCACTTTTTAAGGCAGTCAGAAAAGGGCAGATTTTAAGTGGTCAGATTAGGGATATGCCCCACTGAAACCAGTCAGATTTGATATTTTTAAAATCGGCTCGTACATAGCTAACATTTGGCACCAATTTCAACTATATTACTTATGAGGCAAATTTTGGCCCCCGTCAGCACTTTTTAAGGCAGTCAGAAAAGGGCATGGCCCCACTTTTTCTGGTCAGATTTATATTTTTTATATTCATACATTGTATGGCAACATTTTAGAAATAATTCTGATCCTATTACTTATGAGGCAAATTTTAGTCCTTTTTGGCCCTTTTTATCTGCCCCTCCCAGCCAAATGCCCCACTGAAACCTCGTAAGACTGGGTGTTTTGAATTTGCCCTATCAATAGCTGCTAATTAATATAGTCAAACCTTCTATTACTTATGAGGCAGTTTTTTCGTCACTGGCTCTTGGACTATAATCTGTAGTCCCAAATTAACAATGCTGTCGAGATTAAAAGCGGTAAGAATTAAACAGAGGGTAATTAATTATATAAACTCCCTTTACACTTAACGTGGTTTTGTCATTCTTCTGCGAATTACAACTTTGCCATTTTATTTTTCAAGTCATGGGATAGTTTCAAATGATTTTACGCCGGCATGTAATATTTATTGAAATGATTATTTATTACATCATCCGCATAGAACTCGTCTTGTTGTTCGGATAGAACAGAAATGTGAGGTCCCGGAGGGGGGGGGGGGTCGAGTGGTTTAACGTGCATGACAAGCACTAAGGTCGCCTGTCAACCTTCGTGGGTTTTCTTCGGGTTATCTTCCTTTCGCTGCTAAAAACCCGTGCGTGCGATATTAATCGACCAATATGTTGTATAGTATAATGATTCATGGTAAACCTGAATGGCATCATCGCCATAAATAGAATAAATACGCACACAGGACGTTATTTATGCACTCGTAACAGGATGCTCTATCAGATTCCATTTCCAACATGGTACTTAGTCAGCTGTGAACAGCACTTTGTTATTGTTTCATTAGCCCAACAATAAATCGTCTGTGCATATTATAAATATCTAGTCATCGCATTTGGCCCACGAGCTAATTTAGTTGTTTTTCAATATCAAATTTTTAGAAATTGTGTCAAATTTGGATGAGTGATCGAATGCACATAAACTAAACCTACGCAACTGTCGATTTTGTAATAAATGATGTTATTTTTAATACCAGTAGGCCTACATGATTAATTCGATTAAAATATATACTTTCACTTTCGTATTCAGAGAATTATATGCAATGCAATATTTCTGTCGAATGAAAGGTTAGAAGAAAAAAACAAACGGGAAAACCATGGATGATTTTCTGAGTTATCTGTTGAAATTTTGATTTTTACTTATTGATTTATTTTTGACATATCCCAAATACACATAATTTTAAAGAAAACTCGAATGAAATTTTTTTTTTTTTTAATTTTCTTTGATTTTACCCAATTTAAATCTTAGAATATGTGGATATTGCAGATCTAACTTGTTTTAAAAGGCTGAAAAATTCCGTTGAAAAAAACAAAAAAAACCAAAACCGACTAGATTTGAACATTCCCCCCTCTAAAAAAACAAAAACAAATACGCTTACCACCCCGACCTCATCCTCCCCCCCCCCCAAAAAAAAAAAATAAAAAAAAAATAAAAAAATATATATATAAATAAACAAAAACATCTTGTTCTATTGCATAATGAGGAAGCAGATCTATACGTAAAACTATTATATACGTACTTATTCCCCGGTTCAATGAGACGTAAGTGCGTCGTCTGCTATATTTGTGCGCATGAGTGTGTACCGGATGTGGTTATAGAACAGGTGTATAATGCCTAATTAGGTGTAATTCATAATTCGCTCTTGTAAATACACTGGGATTAACTCAAATTGGGATATTGTGAAATATTTAGAGTCTTTTGAACAAAATAGGGGTAAATTAATCGGCTTCAAGATCCAAATCTGCGATTAAAATATCATGCGCACAGGTTCTGCGCATCAATAAGAAGGTCGCCATCTTGACACATTGTTTTGGATAAACGTTTTTAGTGAGGGGGTTTGTCCGCAACTCTGGGATCACGTTGAGGGTGCTGTGATAAGCTGTCAAGCTGGATAAACTACCTGAGTATCTTCGAGATACGATGGATTGGTTTATGGGGTATGTATTTGTTTATTTCATTTAAAAAACATCTGTTTATTATGCCGCTGTCAGTCTGCTGGAACGGTCTGTCGGTGGTCTTTCCTGAATCATCTGCTTCTTCGACCAGCTTCTTGAACTTAGACTGCCAAGAAACCCAGGTCGACGCGCTCATTTTATCGTTTCAGAATAACATTACATCAAGATTATATTTAAAAAATTATCATTATTCATTATTATGAAAATGTTCTCAATGTAAGACTGATTTTTAGTGACGGAAGATGGCAAAATGTCAAATTCATTATCGGTACGGCACTTTTTTCTCAAATGTCAAATTAGTGAGATTGATAGGCCAAAGAAATGGCAAGGCTAGTAAAAGGCCCTATCGAATCTTAGCAAAATACATGTAGAGAATTGTTAGTGTCATTTTGTATATAGCACATGTTCAAGGTCTACAGTCTGACACCATGATCACCAGAAGCTGTCACTGACTTATCATTATTTATGTCAATCCAGCTTTTTTTTTTTTAAAGGGGCATTGCATTAGACCTCTCAACAAGATATTAAACAATCTTTTATATATTCAGAGTTTCACCTGCTTTTTCAAAATCCAAACCCTGGACCTATATAAATAAGGAATTTGGCACCCGTGCCATCCAAACTCTTCCAAACTCTTCTGTTGCAGTGTTGGTAACAATGTTATATTCATCGACCTCTTACTAACTACTATAAGCTATCCGATGGTGGCAGTGGATGGATGTTTCTATTTTTGTTCACTGCTTTTTACCTGAATCTGTCATGTTTTAAACATTGCACACATCCCAAATAATGTTTAATTTCAGATTCAGCAGGGAAAACTATTGTATGTTATATTTGCACTACATGAAAAGAGAACCAAAAATCCAGTGTTGATATCCTCATTGTGCATAAGATATTCTCATTGTGCATTGGAGCCTAGAATTTGCACCCTGTTTAGTTTAATTTCACATTCAGCAACGAAAACTATCGTATACCTTATTACAGGTATATTTGCACTACATGGAGAGGTCCAAAAATCCAATGCCGATGCCCTCACTGTGCGTTAGAGCCTAGAATCTCCCCCCCCCCCCCCCACACATTTGTTTAATTTCAGAATCAGCAAAGAAAACTACCATATTTTACACCATGTGAAGAGAACCAAAAATCCATCATAGATCCTGCTCAATGTGCATTAGGGCCTAGAGTTTAAGGTTGAAATATATCAATATAAGGAACTATCTGTACAATAATGACTATACATGTAGGCTATATCACAGTTAATATTAATGAAGAATACATGTAGTTAGTCAATGAATAAAAATAAGCAATCTTGTCTCTGGCAAGCTATGACCATGAACGTCAAATATCAATGAAATAATAATATTGCACCAAAAACACTCTTCTCTGGTTCGTTAAAAACATTACAGGAGAAAGTGTATAATAGAAATGAAATGAAATGGGGTTTAACGTCCTACTGTTCTGCTCCTAACCTGGGCTAATGAAGGCGGACATACGCCATACAGTGTGCTATGAGGGAAATTTTGCCCGGACAGCGGCACTATCGCCTACTCTTATATCGAATTCCAACTGCCAAGGGATCTTTTATGTGCACACCAATGTGTACACGGGACCTCAGTTTTTCATCCCATCCGAACGACTAGACAGCTTTCCTTGTCTGCCCCTCCGTTCTGCATCACTGACAAGGGAGAACCACGCCGGAAAATCTGGATGAACTTTCTCGGCCAATGCAGGGATCGAACACCGACCTCCAGGCTAGCGAGCTAGCGTCTTACCCACTTAGCCACGTGATCCCCCTGTGTATAATAGAACACAAACTGATAAAATGATACAGACTTACACACAGTTGGCACAGTTTAAAAACATTCTAAAGAAAGGTAACATTTACAAGGATGTGTACAGTAATTAAAATGCAGCTGTGCTTCGGGTCTGATCTTCTTGTAGTGGAGGTCATTGATAGTATAAAAAATGAAACAATTTTATAGATCTGTATTTTAATCAGGTTGCTAGTTTCTGAACCAGCGTATCAGTGTTAAGATATTGCATACATAGAGGATATTTGTCGTTTTAGAGTGAATAACATATTTTATTTCATCGAGAAGCAAGAAAACTTATATTTTCACGAATGCGTAGCATGAGTGAAAATATAAACGTTTTCTTGCTTAGAGATGAAATAAAATATGTTATTCACGACAAAACGACAAATGTTCTATTTATTTTATGATTTTACAATCATTTTAGGTAAAAACAACATGGACTACTGCTAGCCAGTGGAATAACACTTTTATTTCACTGATAAAACGCGGTATTCCACTACTGATCATAAAATAAATGTATATAACCAATGAGTTTTGTACCTTTTTTGTACCTTTTCCCAGCTAGTAATAATAGTAAAACAAATCGTGGAACAAAACAAAATATTTGATGTTGGGCAACATGTGAGTTTGAGAACCTCCTTCAGCTGAACACATTTCGTTTCCCATTTGTAAATAAATCAAGATGACTAGGGTGTTTAATACCTTTAAATTTTTGTGAAAGATTCGGGCCTACTGTAAATGTTTTTTTCAGAATTGAATGACAGTCACGTACCTGTACCGCATGTCATTTTAATTGTGATTGATCAATATAATTGTTTGACATGTCAATATTATCTTGCTGACGGGATTTAATGGTACACGTCATGACATTTCAAGGGGAACAAAAGTAGATTTTTTTGATATAATTTTTATAAAAAGAACAATTTAAGTATCAATGCAATGTTAGCTGGTAGCTTGTGGTTAAAATGAATAATTTTTGAATATATATCAGACATATTGAATTAGAGTAATTTTAATTGCGCAACATTAACCGCCATAACTTTCACTTCTACAACTTAGTCTGATGACGTTATGATTTAAAATTGGAGGCATATTTTCAATAAACTAATATTTTGTCATGTTAATTGTTTTCTATGTACATATATATACAGTATATTTTATACGTCATAAATTTTCTTCCTCTGTGTTATTTATAATACGTAATGTTGCTTAGCCTATGAAAAGAGTAGGAGACAAAAGTGTATTGAATAATTCACATTCCAGGGATAATGATTTTATTGATTGAGAATGGTGGGATGATTCTGTATCTATAGTTTACTAGCCATAACTCATTTTATACAAATCTCGTTCTCTAGAAAACTACATTACAGGTAGGACTAGGACTTCATAACAAGAAGGACTGAAATCATTATGCCGTAAGTTCGTATAAAATATTTTATTTCCGTCGATCTAATGAAAAATAAGGGTAAACATACAAAATCAGACAGCCATTCACTTCATCATTTATACATGTACCAAGGTGAAAAATATGTTGTAATTAATGTAGCTTTATAAAGGGGATGTGTTTACAGGTCTTCATTTACACCTGTCTAATTAAAGGTAGAGCTTACTTTTGGTACTTTTGACTTAAGATCATGAGGTATACAATGTATCAATGAGTCAAGTGGCATGATTTCGAATCTTTGATTCCACACTTGTACGTGACGAGGAGTAGGGTCGCCTGCCCAATCTACTGGGTTTCCTTTGGGTCCACTGGTTCCTCCCACTGCTAAAGATCTCTACAAGTATATGCAAGCGAATTATTAAATTAAAATTGTACCAGGTGTTAGTCCTGAAATGGACAGTTTGTCTCAAATTTCTTGGACCAAAATTGCGGCAATACTACGAAAAAAAACCCTGCTAAGAATTCTCTAAGATTCCACGGCGAATTTTCGTTAAGATTCGCCTGGAATCCACAGGGTTTTGCTAGGAATCCATGTGTTTCGCTAAGAAAACACCAAGTTTCTGTAACCCACGGCGTCTCTGTCTTGAAGTACATGTATAACATACACAAGTATTGATTAGTCTGACAGATGTATTATACTGGATTAGTCCAGATTACTAGATGACATTTCTACTCTCATTATCTTACACAAACCACAAAATACTCGCATCTTCTTTCTTTATAAATTTATTCAAGCATCTGACTACATCAACTACAAATTTGTACTGAGTCAATCATCTACTTATAAACTACAGAATGTGATTTAAATATATGGATATAAATATTTATAGTCTGTATGTTGAAGACATTCTCAGTCTGTCTATCCATTCCACTAGTTAAAGGCAGGTCAACGTGGTTAGGTCTAGATATTAAGGCTACCTTCAGATTTCCTCAAGGTCACGAAATGTAAACAGGGCTAGCGCTAACCCTAGTCCTTATGCTTAGCTACAACCTTCGGCAATAATCACGTGCCCTAGCTCAGTATACATCTTGTGACCTTGACAAAATCTGCTGGTGGCCTTAATATTAAGACCTGACCAAGTCAACATACAGAAGATAAATCAGTAGATGGGGGTGGACATGTCCAAAATTTATTTGTCAAACGAAAATCTATGGTATGAAAGGATTTTCCTCCATTTTGTGGACCAAGATATGGTTCCCAAACGCTAAGTATGAATAAAAGAGAAAGGCTCAACGTTTGCATGCATGTTCCACACTGCATTGGTTGACAGATTTTGATTTTTGTTATGACGTCACAAGTCAAAGATGGCTGCGATGATGTCATACTAACTTCCCGGTCCATAGAGTGTGCTCGTATTTGTCTGAAAAGAAAATGTCAATATTTGAAGTGAATACATGAAGTTGATCATGTACTTGTTGTTTTTTTTATCGTACAAAATCAGTATTTTGTTCAACCTTTATTCAAGTCCATCTCTACAAAGCATTCCCTATTCATGTCAACAGAAAATTTGACGTGCTGGATAAACACTACAATTATTACATGTACATGTAGTTAAAGCTGATCAAGCAGTTTTCAGATAAAAAACTATTTTTACAGGTAATCCATGTGCTGAAATTTTTATTTAAAGTTTAATTACTTCCTCTGGAAGTGTTGGTCATAATCTTTATGTCAAACTTGTTTGAGATCATTTGAGGAGATAATACGCACTTGTAACAAATTAGGG